CGGCCGCTCGTCGGCAACGGAGCAGAGCCTGGCCCAGGTGGGCAGCGTGCTCGCTGCCATCAGGTGAGGGACGGGCGCTGCTCACCGGGTGCCCGTGTCAAAGGCAGGAGGCTGGTGGACAGGCTCCAGGCGGTCAGCATCTTGCCTGGTCCCTACGTGGGCATGGCCCTGTGAGCCGTATAGAATCATAGAATTGTCTAGGTTGGAAAAGCCCTTTAAGACCATCAAGTCCAACCGTTCCCCTAACCCTGCCATCCCACCCCCAAACCCTGGCCCTAAGCACCTCATCTCCTCTTCTTTTAAATACCCCCAGGGATGGGGACTCGACCACCTCCATGGACAGCCCTTTCCAGTACCTGACAACCCTTTCTGTGAAGACATTTTTCCTAATGTCTAACCTAAACGCGCTCTGCTGCCTCTGCAAACCTGCGAGGCCATGGCGTGTCCTCGGCTCCCTGGGCTCAGAAGTGCCCTTTCCCCGGGTGTTGGCAGCACCCCAGCACAAGAGCACCCTGTTCCCTGTCCATAAGTGCTTTGCTCTCTGCTTGAATTCACATTTTCCGCTTCTTCTCTCCCAGAGAGCAGGTCCAAGGTATAAATCCTGACCTTCATTTTCTGGATGAGACTGCCTCTCTGTCGAGGGAGCTCGAAGCCCTCAACAGCAGCTTGCTCATCACTAACACCCAGTATCAGAGCAAGAAGACCCAGTTTGAAAACAGCCGCAGCACAGATCTGTCAGGTACAGTGCTGCAGCTGTAATATTTCTTAATTTGCAGCTGTTAATTTACTTCAGCGTGACTGTGCCTGGTGGGTTCCCACTGGCCGGGTGGATGAGACGGAGTTTTTAACTTGCTGTCAGCTTAGGAACAGCAAATACACCTTCCCTCCCCAGCGAGAGGGATGCTTTCTACCCAGCCTCTGGTCCACGCTGTTGGGTTGTTTGCTCCAGCGTTCCGGGGCTGGGCAGCTCGCTCCATGGGTGCTGCATTCCCGTCCCCCGGCCAGCGCAAACTCCACTGCTGGGGAGCGGTGGGAAGGGGGGAGCCCCGCTGGGAGCGTGTCACCCAGCCTGGGAGAGGAAGCTGGGATAATGAAGGTTGTGTGCAGATGGCAGGGATGGAGGGGTGGGGAAGAGCGCCAGGAGGCTGTCAGGCACTTAGGAGAAGAGCTAATTAAGCCCTGTGATGATGCTGGTGGTAGGCTGCCATTAGATC